TCCATCTCCCTTTGCATTGCTGGCAGTAAAAAGACCATCAACTGTAGAACTCCAAACACCTGACTCAGCCCCTCTCCCCTCATAACCACTATTTTAAGTATTTCTGAGTAGTTTTTTTCCTCCCTTGCTGTACTACACAAGTCCTCTGTGCACCTGTACAGTCTTCTCTAAGGATTTTTGGTGGGGGTATTGGCAAAGTGGAGTACAGTAAGAGGCTTGGTGAGACTGCGTGAAAGATATAACACAAAGTAGACCTGTAGTGCAACCCATCTTCTCATTTCACCAGGAATGAGGAATTCCACCAGGCATAAAAAGCACATTGCAATTAGAGGGTTTATCCTAGCCAAAGAAATCAGATCTGTTAGCTGGCTGGAACAATAAATGCATGGTTTTAGCCTTAACATCACATACAATACAAAACAAATGAACAAGTTGAAGTCCTAGAGTGGACTTCGTGGGACTAGACATTCATGCTACTCCCTCCACAGCTGCAGTTTAAAGCTTTAAGACTGAAACCAAGCCTGACTTATAGGAGTAAGAATTAGGAGGTTGATAACATGTTATGAAGGGACCAATATAGTGGAAGGCATTAATAGCTGAATGCTCATGTGCAGTTGAGAAATTACTATCAAATTAGATTAACTCCAAGCACTGGTATTATTTTAAAAACAACACCAACATCATAGGCTTTTTAAAAAAGTGGGATTTTGAGACTTTCCTGTAACTGTAAATAAAAGGAGAAGCATAAAAACCCACAAGACACTGATAAAAATAACTGTTTTCCGATTCTTCGGGAAAAAAAAAACCCTCAGTGCACTTCGCATCATCCCCGCTGTTGTCCTCAAAGTTTGCACAAAGCGAGCCCGTTACTGGGCGGGCGGTGCTCCTCTCCAGGGTATGCATTCCCTCCTCCTCTGCATACGCTTCTCCTCGCATCAAAGCGATATTCAAAGCATCTTTGCTGCCTTCCAGGTTGGCACCGAGAACGAGAGACACCTCAAAGCCCGTTGTCTCCGGGCTCTGCAATTCCAGCACGGTCGCACTTGGACAGGTCTCCCCACACAGAGCGGGGCGAGCGCCGACAGGCCAAAGGCAGGGAAGAGAGACCCCCAATGCCCCTGTCCCTCCCGGGGGACAAAGCCCCGCTCCGACCCCCGGAAGCAGCGGGGCTGCGCTCACCCCTCGTCCCTGCCCGGCCTGGAGAGGGGGCTCCGCACCGGCTCCCGAGCGGGACGGACCCCCCGGGGCCGCTGCGAGGGACGCGACCCCCCCTCCGCCCCTCCAGCCCTTCCCCGCCTTCCCCTCCTCCCGCGGCGCGCCGGGGTCACCACTGCGCTCCGGGGCAGCCCGCCGCCCGCCGTGGCCACTCAGCTCCAGGTAGGCGGCCCAGAGCCCCAGGGCCAGCGCGCCCAGGGCCAGCAGCAGCCGCAGCAGCCGCCGCCGCCGCCGCAGCCGCGCCAGCAGCCGGCCCCGCATGGCGCCGCTCAGGGCGCCGGGCCCCCGCCGCCCCGGGACATGCCGCTCCCGCCGGCCCGGTACCGCACGGCGGCCTCGGGCCCCCCGCCCTCCTCGGCGGGGCGGGCCCAGGTGCGGGGCGGTGCCGCGCCCCCGCGGGGCAGCTCCCGGGGCAGCTCCGCCGCCGCCCCCCGCACCTGCCTCCGCCCCGCGGGGCCGGGCCGGGGGCTCCGTGAGGGGCTGCGCCGGCACCGCCTGGGCCGCGCTGGGGGCCGGGAGCGGGGACACCCCCTCAGAGAGCTCCGCTCCTGCCAGGGCCGCGGGAGAGTCGCCTCAGTAGCGGAGGGGGCTCCAAACCCTCCCTCAGCGCCGGCGGTAGTATTGGGGGATCCCTCCGGGCAGAGGAGTTATCGTCTCCCGTCCTCCCACCGGAGCGAAGCAGGATGAGAGGGGGCAATTCAAATTCACACAGTTATTACGCGCAGCTGAATCCATCTTAAAGCGTCTTTCAGTTGGTGCAACAAGTGTATTTGCTTGGAAGTGCTTTGCTCGGTGAGGAGGAGCGGGGCTCGTGAAGTCTCCGGACCTGCTTTCCGAAGCGCTGACTGAACGCGATGTTACACGGCTCAGACCCCCCGGAGGGAGGATGTCGGAGGCCCACGGGAAGGACAGGACCTTCCCTGGGTGAACGCTCTGCTTCGCTACACGTCTCGAGCACACCTTCGAAGTGGCTCTGTCGGAGTCCCTCCCGCGCTGTTGGTTTTATTCACATCACCAAGCTGTCTCGGAGGACTCAAACTGATTCCTCCTGGGTGAAGTGAAAGCGGGAGATGCTCTCTGGGAATGTACATCGTGCGGCCAGCAGGGCAGCCAGTCCAGAACTACCCCTTACTAGATATGTATGATGTGAGTGTTGGGTTGTTGGCAACAACCTTTTCCCTTTCCAGCTCTGCTCCTGCACAGATGCAGCTCCTGTGCTGTGTGGAAGAAACCCTTTGGCTACAGTTAGTTTTGAAAATGCATGAAATGCATGCAATGATGATAGACCTTTTTTTTTTTGTGACTCACTTTTCCACTGCAGCCTTCTAAAGTGGGAGGCTGCTCAAAAGGACGCTTGCTGTTGTTTAGCTTAAGAAACGTGCCAAAGGCATTTTAAATGGCATTGAGGGACACGGAACTGTGGTGTGAGTCTCAGCAGGGACGGGCTGACATTGGCAGAGTGCCAGCATCTCAAGTGTTGCACGGATCGGGAGCTGAAGCAGCATCCACAGTCCCTGGCATCAAGTGCTGTACACTGTGTTCCCAGCATCCAGGCAGCACGGAGAGACGCTGCTGTTACCTGTCACACACTGGGATGGACCAACAGATGACGGGTTTCCTTTTTATGAACGTCTCACAAAGGTTGCACAGCCATCTCCCTTCTCTTGATTAGGGAAAGCACATCCAGAGAGTTTTACACCTCGTTTCAGAGCTGAAAAGACATCATTTTTCTGAAGTTGGAAACAAACCCAGTGGTGAAGGAGGCTGGTGAGTGGCTCTGTCCTCGGGCTTCCCAGCCTCCCTGGGATAAGGTCCATTCTGCAGCTTTTGAGCTTCTGTTTCTCCTTCCTACCTCACCCAAGGCCACAGATGTGCATCCACCATCCCAGCTTAAATCACAGGAGTACTTCCTCCAGTGCAAAGAGAAAGGGCTGCCCATAGCCAGGCCACCAGTACCCCCACAACTGAAAACAGGGGGCTGTGCACTCGTTTAATCATTGGAAGGCAGGAATCTCATGAGGGCATGACACTCACTGTTGGGAGTTTTTTGGTAGAGTGTTGGTTTGGGATTTTCCTACATGAGCGAAATAAACCAAGTTTTTATATTTGTTCCAAAAAAGAGAGAAAATACTAAGAAAAAAGTGTAATAAATACAGATCTAAAATAAAATTTATTTTAAGAATGATTCTTTAAAATTTATTTAAAGAATGAGAATTGAATGATGTATTCTTAGTAGGAAGTTGTCTGCATTTCTTAAATGAACAACCTTATGCTTGAAAAATTACAACTGCACTTTGATGGAAGTTTGTTGCATATTAAAATCGGTAAGCACATTTCTTTCTACTGAACATGGTACTAAAATGGAGGGGAGGGAAAAATGAAATTAAAGGCTAACAAATTGTTGACTTCTAAAGAAGCAAAGTCTTTTTCCTGATAGACCTATGCTATAATGAAAAGACAGAAAAGCTCTTGTCTCTGGAGAAAAAAATGAAGAAAATTACTATAGCATGGTGATTTCTATCTGTTACAATATAGTTACAACAGAACAATATTAAGGAACAAAATTAGTCTTAATGTGTAATAAATAGTGAAATCAGGAATTTGAATAGCTCTACACTGCACTTAAAATAACTAATTTTGGATCACTCAGTCATTGCAGAAAGCACTGATGTCCAGGAGTAACATTACCACTGACAGTAATATTTTAAAACCACCTCACATAAATGTTATTTTCTCAAGTTTACCAGCAGTCTTATATTCCCAAATTCTCAAGCACCCCAAGTCACACAAGTGCATGCCCAGACGGCCACATCTCTCATCTTCACTGTGTGCAGTATGGTAGCAGTGGAAACCATAGGTTATAATAATCCTGTATGGTGGGATTAACCCCATCAGGGAAAGAAACAACAAGTGAGCTGGAATCAGTGATGCAGGAATAGGGTCTGTGTTGTATGGAGGTGACTCAGGGCGCTGGCACTCCTGACAGACCACCCTTGAATATCGGACAGATCGCTGCTGGCTTCAGAACACGCCTCTCCCAGCCTACCCCGAATACCCACTTCAAAGAAACTGACTCTTTGCCAGAGGAGCCAACTGGAGTATTTTTTTTGCTTTGTTTGAGCTGCTGTTTGTTTTCCATTTTGGCTATGTTTCCTCGTGATAAAAGCAGCCTTTGATTCGAGTGCAGCACTTAATGCACATCTCCTGTTCCTCCCCGCTCCCCTCTCTAGATCCCTCTCTGTACATCCCTGCCTCTCCTTGTTATATTTTTGCCTTTAGTTATCTAACTGTTATCAACTGTTTTTCTGTTCTATAAATCACTTTCAGCCCCATGCCAACAATCCTTTCTCTGTAGGCTCCCCAAAGGTTCAATTATCTGCCATTTGCTCTTTCCCTTCTTTTTTCTTGTGTGATTTTCAACACTAATTACAAACTCCACACCAAAGATACCCAACTGTCCCTAGACTTCACCATCCCAGTGGCTCCACACCCCTTTTCCTGGCCTCAGCCATGCTCTGAAGTACAAACAATGATTTCATCTCAACACTCCTCATCAAAATGGCTCAAAGGCAGAAGTGTTTCTAAGAGGAAAAGGCAGTCTCTGAAGACACAGTTCCCCATTATCTCCCTTTTTGGCTCCTCGGGAAAGGACTGGGCTCTAAAAGGCATTACTGGTGGAGCAATCCCAGAAAAACCCCTGTCAATGCCACAGTTGAACATCACTGTAAGGGAATCAGTGTGGTCCACAATCAACAACCCATTAGCAAAAGGACCTCCTTGCCCAGTTAAGTTGTGCTGATACAGTGAGTTTCGCTAACCTAGTTACATTTTACCAGTGCTGTTATACTGCCAACATTTGTATGAGCTGGTCTGAGTTGGGTTTTGAGACTTCCTTTTGCTGTACACATTGCTGTGCTCCCTCAGTGCTGACTTTGACTGACATTGCTCTCCTACAACTTGCCCGTCTGGGTGGAAAGCCTCATTCATGATTCTCTCTTTTCACTGTTAACTCTCCAGAGGTTTCAAGCCCTAACTGTCCAGATAAACTTACATAGAAATGGCTGCCCTTCCTTTTCCTCAGTAAGAAGGGCGCATTTTCACATGAACTTCAGCCAGTACCTCTAGGAGCACCTTCTGATTGCAGGTCCTGCCCCAGGAGTAGATCTGAATTACCTTCTGCACACCAGAACAAGCTCTTGATATCTAGAGCATATGTTTTCACTTGCAGAAAAAAGTTTTTATATACTTTAAGCTGAGAACTTTTAAAACTTTCCAGGGTTTATATATTTACCATAATGAAAGATGTATCTATGTATTCCACCATTTGGGAAATACATGCTTTCAAAACTGAAGTCTTGGCTAAATCTCCTCCTTTCCCTGTCTTAGAAGTCCTAGTACTTGTTTTGTATTTTAAGGTGACTGTGCTCATGATCCTTACTTTTCAAGAAGTTCCACAGTCATGTTATTAGGGCCATTACAGAACATGGTTGATGAACAACACTCCCTGCAGATATCTGTCTATCCAAGCTAGGACTGAAGAGGAAAAACTGTTTTACTGGATGGTTTAGAAGGACTTAGAGTGAAAGAAAGGCAATTCAATCTCTGAATAAATACAGGAGAATTGAGCACCTCCTGGACGTGCTTCACCAGGGTAAATCCAGAGCTTTTTATTAAAATCAAACCTATTTCAACAACAAATCCCCTCATGCCTGTGCAGTAAAATCATTGTCTTGCTTTAACATTGAAGCACTTCTGTGTTAAAAGCCTGAGTTTTCTGAATAAAACCAAATAATCTGTATTTACACATTTGTAATCTGTCCCCAGTCCAACAGCATCGCAATTCTTAAAAAATGCAATTTAGTCAGCGTAAGTGAACAGTCAACCCCATTGAGGGCTCTGGTTTTAAAGCTGTATTTCTGGAGCTTACTTGAAGGGCAGCCACCCTAACCCATATTCAAAGATGCCCTTTCTCCAACAGTTCATTTGGTGCTAAATGGGAAATACCAGAAGTCCACTCCACTCTTCTCAAATACTTAGTCACAGCAGAAATGTTTCCTGTTAGTGAGTTAAATTCCAGTTACCTCTCATGGCCAGTTTAAAAGTCCTTAACATTTGATGCAACCTAAGAAGCAAAACAAACTTTGCTCTTTGTGCCTAAAATCTTATGAAGAGCCAGAAGTGATCATCGCAGCTGCCACCTCTCACACTTTCTACACTGTATTCAATCATGTTTTGGTGCATAATCCCAGTTGACAGGCTAAAAAATGTATATACTTGTACAGCTAGACTTGCAAATTTAAGAATAACTGTGTAGGGAGTAAAAGAGATATTTTCTTACAGTTTAGAGCAACTTGAGAACATAAATGCAAAATACTGCAGAAAAATTAAAGAAAAATCTTAAACTGTTCCTTGACTACAAATGACCTGTGATGCCACTTGGAAAGGGGACAAATGGGACATCTTTATTAAGATTTCGACCAAGTAGGCACAAACACATTCTAGTGTATCAAACTGAATGTGTTTGTGAGTTGTCATTAAAAGTCTGAACGACATCACTTTTCATGAGTATGAACAGATCTACCAGAACAAGGTATACAGGCATGTGGTTCCCAACTAGTTTCAGAAGTAATATCTAGTTATCAAAGAATTACTTCCTGCCCTACATACAGAGACATTTCAATTCCAGAATATCAGGCTGCCTGGAGAGTCCATCCATACTGCTAAAGTGTGTGTGTTTCTGAACTGATACTCCTACTTATAGAGGCAATTTAAATACAGCACATACTATACTACTGTTTAGATTTATTCTGACACCCATGAGAACTGTTAATCTGCTTTTCTAAGTGCAGTCACAAATGACTGCAGATTGTGGTACAGGATGATCGCAAGGGATTTTCTTTAATTTTGGGTTGGTTTTTTTACCTGGTGTAACCTTGCTGTGTAGGGTTAGCTGACACAGCAGACATTCCTATAATTAAGGCAACTGCATGAATACTAAAAAACTCCTACAAATATTGCATATAAATACATCATAAGTTTGAAGCCAGAAGGAACCACTAAATAATTTCCTGTTAGTTCATGTCATTATATTTCATTAAGTTCTAATGTGTCAAACCCAGGAACTTATTAAAACAAGCTACCTTCTCCAGAGGTGGAATAATTTTCTGATTTGAAGATAGAGATGGAGAATTTGTTCCCTCCATAACTAGTTTGTTACAATGAGGGGGGAAAGCACAATCTTCCTGTTAAAATGTACACTTTTTAAAGTTTACTTCAGATTCAGGCTACTTGTTCTTGCTCAGCATTGCTCTGCTAGGATAGAGAGGCCTTGGGTAGATTTTTTTTGTCTTCAAGAAACACCTACATTAATCAGGCTTCTTAGTGTAATACAAAACGAGCTCTTGCACAACCTTTTCTCTACCACTGAATCATCTGTGGTTCTGTGCCTTAGCCAATATTCCAACATTCCTTCCAAAACGTATGCGCTCCTTCCGTACCTAAATAAAGCCGCACAACAATAAGGTTTTCCTCTATTCATTTTTCACCTATTTGTGCAAGAGACATTTTCATGTATCTTGGCTCACAATAAGAGCATTTGTCCAGTTCTAACCTTCAGTCCTGTAGTATAGTCTCCATATTCTTAGAAGCAGCTATTTTGGAGATCTTTCAAAATTCTGTGCTCCTACATTCCCAGCCTGGCATTTAGCTGGATTGGAACGATACAAGTCACACATTACTAACTTAAAATAGCAAAAAAAAAGCTCACTGGTCTTTGGACTAAATGCTATTTTTTGATTTCTACCCAAAAACCGTGGGAAAAAATTGACTAAACCAGGTAGTGGAACCTCTCCCAGGAAACCCTTTTGAAAATGCCAGTAATTCTTTATGGACATCTTAAAGGGTACTTGTCAGTGGTAGGAAGCATTTAGCTTTTTAAAGCAGTTCTTGGCACGAAGTTCCACATTTTTTTTGGCAACATTTCACATGATCACATGATGTCACACAAAGAGCACGTACAATACTTTTCACTTCCTGCACTTGGACAAATATTCAAACCTCCAAATAAAATGGATTTACTGAGTAGCAATATCATAATTCCCCTACCCCTCAAATAGGAAGTGTTCATAGGCTAGAAACAAATTAGGAATCAAGTTCAAGCTGCACTTTGGTTTTGACACATCAGCAAATATACTAGAAATGTTGTAATTTTATTCTGTTCAGTCTTTCAGGTAGTAAAGAATAGTGGTAAGGAAGGCAGGAAATCAAACATTTACATCCTTCTTCCCCCAATACTTCCTCCCAGTCTCACAAACCAAATTGTCAAAGCCTGAAGTCTTTATCCATTCAAACTTCATGGTTTTGAAGTGAGCAAAATGTAATTTCAAAGGCAATTCTTTAGCTTGGAAGAGTTGAAACTAAACAGGAACCCACTGATTTCTATAGGATAAAGAGACTTTTTGGTAGTTTCCCATCAGCTGAGTTTAAGTAGATGGATCCTGCTGAGTAAGTGGCTAATACTTCATTATGTATCAATTTTCTAAAGCAGCCTTTGAGGACCTGAGATAACTCTGATATCTAATCTTCAAAACAGCAGTATGTTATTTCACATACAAACTCACTTTAATTAGCTTGACTTCTCTGAGAAGGTACTAGTCAACTGAGAGTGAGACTAAAAGCTGGATAGCATTAAATAACCTTCCTCAACTGTCCACACCGCATTGGCACCCAAGTTGTTTAAGAAACAGTTTCTGAACAGTTCAGCATTTTCAGCTCAACTAACCAGTGCAACATACCCTAAAACAGCCTCTTGTAAGCTGCAGTGCTGGGCAGCACCAGAAAATCCATGATGAACTGACCTCAAGAACACAGACAAAATAAAAGCCACAGTACAGGACCCTACGGGACAGCAAGCTTGTCACAAGTAGGTTAGACAGCTGAAGGAAGTCTTGACTTCTTTAGGGAAATTTCCCCTCCCGCATTCCTTTAGCTGGTGCTATAGAAACAATTCTTCCTTCTCCAGATCCTGACAGCACAAGAACATCTTTAGCATATTTACCTCTCAGACACTGAATGAGGATCTCCATGGTCACTTCCATGTCAAAAAGAAATTGCCTGCTTTCACACACCAAATTCATTTCAATGGGAAAGGAAGTGCTGGTAGCCTGTAAGGTGTATACTTCAGAAACAAGGTAGGAAAAGGTAAAGTAGGAAACAGAGGCATGGAAATCCCTTTCCCAACACAGATCTGCTCTCCGGCTACAAGGTGGACAAGATTTGCTGATGCAACACTAAAAGCATGAATGCCTGCAATTATGAACTTGGCTGAAGCCCCATTGTAACCCTTTTCATGATTCCATCTGTTTTCTGGAATTGCGATGTCGTGATGTCTGGTATGGAGATAATCATCATATGGCTGGAGAATCATTACATAGCAAGAGTTATAGCTCTCATGTAGCAACTAGGCACCTGCTCTTCCGCCCCAGTTTGTTGCAGTTCAGTAGCAACAAGTGCTGTAGCAGAAGTTGATAACAATTTCTTTGTACATAACCATGATATTGTTTAGAGCTACAACAGCAGATAATGTGGTGGTAAGGAAGACACTGGACCCCTTATATTATGGGCACCCTCTGCGTGTTAAGATACACTGGGAGGAAGGGGACAAGAAGATGAAACTTCCCACCAAGCATTCAAAACAAGTTCTATGCTGCTGCTTCTTGCAGATGAGTTCTAAAATGAGTTATCTTTTCCAACCATATTAAATCAGTCAGGTTTGTTCCAATTAGGTAGAACCAAGCAAAGGGGAGCCATTTTAAAGTAGTTACGCTGTCAAGGGGAGAGTTAGATGTAATACATTTTAGTACAGACTTCTATATGTGGTCTTTTCCAAAGAAAATTTCCAGTTACATCCTGAAGCACTAAGCATCAAAGAGGTAATCATTTAAACTATTTTAAAAGCTGCTTTTCACATGGGAAAAGGTCAGCCAAAATTCAGATCCTGAACTAGATCCTTCTATGATTATTAATTTCATTATAACTACGTATATGGTTTATCATACGCTCCAAATAAAGATGAAGGCCAGGATACACTGATCCCTACCACAGTTATGAAGGAAAAAATAAGTCATACACACACTCCTGATATATCAGTCATCATGTACTCTCTGTGTCAGTCTTATCAGGTGCCATCTCTCAGCTGAAACAGCCTTATAATCTGGACTCTGGGAACGGCTCATGTATGCTGTTATGACATTAACTGCAGATGTCCTCAAACCTTCTGTGGATGGATGCCAGGAAACAGACAAGCAGGAGCTGCTCTTGCATTCCACTTAGCAGTGTCTCATTCCTAAAACTAGGATGTCAGCTAACAGTTCAGCTTCAGCAGATCCGTAGCTCATTCTCTAAACAGTAGATTTTTGCTTTTAAGTCTTTTAGCTCTCCTTGAATTTTACGTGTTAGTCTGTTTCCTTGGCGGACCTCGCGTAGAACTGCAATATCCTGGCCTGGTCCCATATTCAGAGTCACCTAAAAAGGGAAAGAAAAGCAGATTAATATAAACCAAACTGTACAGAACACAATTTAGAGACTATTATGATGAGTGCATGAGGGAAAGAATTCTAAAGGAGACACTCCGCAGCTACCAAAGAAGATGTGCAAGTTAATGGCACTTTGATAAATGCACATCAACAACAGAAAAGTGCTCCAGAACCAAAAATAAAGAGCAAACCTTTCATAACATTATAGTGTTATATTACTGGCAAAGAAGAAATCTGGATAGAATATAATCAAGTTTACCCATAGCCTGTTGACTCCTTTCCAATTCCTGTATTATTTAGAGACCCACAAAAAGAGGCAAGTTAAATTATTTATCAACTAACCTGTATCTAGTTCTAAGTACCTCATCTGATATGATGACATTTTATCCTCTTTTCCTGCTAAAACTGGAGGTGGGCTAACTACTGTGCCAGACCTGCTGCCTCCTGAACTGCATACGGTTCAAGAGCAGTTCAAGTACAACGCCTTGTTTCAGGCAGTGACATATGGCCTGTACTGAGCTGAACAAAGGCTACTGGATAATCAGAATTCCTGATGGCAGGCTGGCCAGGGCTGACATTTCCTGTCACCCTGGAACTGGATAGCATGTCAGCCCAGTCACTTTCAAGGGCACAGGCTTGGAAACTACTCTCAAACCCCTTTATTTTCTTGACCTGTCCCGGTTTTCTTATTGTCATCATGTAGTTCTTGGTCAAAGATTTTAATATGCAAATCAAGAAATGTAGTCATCAGACCTCAAGTGATGAGAAGGATTTAACAATCAATCTGGAGAACTCTAGCAAGTATTTTGTTCCCCTGCCCTCTTGTGGTTAACTACGTAATGAAATTGAGAATGCAATTAAAAGCACACACACAGATATAAAACATACAGGTCTGTAGTAAAGGTATCACAGACAATTTTCCCCCCTTTTGCATATGCTGTTTAGCCCTTACAGAATAAAGTTTAAAACCCCACAACTCAACAAAAACAAAAAACCAAGGCCTTTAGTCCAAATAAATGCATTAGTCTAAGTAAGCTGAACTGTGCACCAAAAGCACAGGAACAAAGGGAGCCTACACTATGACTGGATCATCCTCTCAAGCATATGTTAGATAAATACCTCTCCTAAACTCCCAGCAACATCAAGGTTGTGGCTTGCCTTCTAAACTGTTCTGATGTTCACCTACACATCTGGAAGCTGCTACAGAGTACACAGAGTCAACTGCCAGCCACTGCTTCTGCAGTGATTTTTGCAGAGTTATAGATGACATATTAACAAAGTAACAAATAGAATATTCACAATACTTCAGTCAGTGATCTATATCTTACTGGATCCAAACCAAATGCTTTGGCTCCCAGAAGGAAAACAAATAATTTCCTTTCCAGGATAAACTTCTGAATCAAACTACTTTACTGCCTTGCAATTTTCAGACAGCAAAGTGAGCTACAGCTATCATATAAGAACTTTCAGAGTGGAAAGAAAAATACTCAGCTAATGGATAGTCAGGACACTTCCTGGCAAGCTCAATGCCTGACTGCCTAACAGAGACATGTTTTTTACTTTGTGAAATACATAAGAGGCAAGTTTTGTCAAATACTGATATCTAAAGGCGCACTTAGGAAAGAAATTGTTTCCTAAACTCTAGGGAAATAGTGCATTTAAATACTAAGCATACAGCTCTATAGGGTAAGCCCATAATAGTCTGCCTCAGAAATGCTTCACTGCTACCTTGTAAATCTGCCTCTCTACATCTTTCAGTTTCTGCTGAAGCTGTTTAATGTCATTCTTGAAGCCTTCTACTTCCATATTACGACGTTGTTCCAGGGCCTCACATCGCTGAGTCATCAGCTTCAGGCGCTTCCCCATCTTTTCTGAGCGTTCCTATGGAGATGAAAACTCAATAGGGTATACAAAACAAAGGCTAAAGATCATCACATAGCTAGCAGATGATTGGAGACTGATTACCTTAAAGAGTTCTTTGCCAGCATCTCTCTCCTCACGAATCCTAGCCAGCTCACCTTCCAGGGTGACACACTGCTCTCTGTACATGTGTGATAGGTGTTGTTCCTGCATCAGCTTTTCCTGCAGTGACTAGGACAGAGGAGAAACAGAAAGAATCAACTCAAAAGACCATGCTTACAAAAATCTCCCCTGCTCTGGAAAAGCAAGTGTGATAGAATTGCCAATATGAGAGGCAAATAAAAATTAACAACTGGAGCTGCAGCTAATGAAATAAGGAGTAGTGGACAATCTTCTACCATTACTTCCATTACCAAAACCTTTTAATTAAGTTAAATTGTGTATGACTGCTTCTCATCAGTTAAAGAACTCCTCTTCCCTATAAAAATATTCAACTCCCCTCTTCACAGCTGTTTCCCAGTACTGCATTTCAGAAGTATCTGCATTCAGTGGTAGCTGAATAACATTCTCTATTGCCTGTTTACTTTCCACTTCCTTATTGCCTGTTTACCCACTTCAGATCTCCCAGCTTCTCATTGGAAGTATAGCAGAAGTGGAAGAAAAATCCTGACTACTGTAAAATAGCTGGAGTACATCAATTGAAAGGACTCCTTCTCCCCTGACAGCAGCAAGGAAGATCCAGACACAGCATTTTAAGTCTATTAGCTCAGAGCACTTGCACTAACAGAAACCCATGTGCAACCAGAAGGCTGAAAACTCTTGGCCCCACAGATCAAATGACTTACAGAACTAAGGATTTGTTTCTGGGCATGAAAGAAACTGCCAGTGACACACAACAATAAATCCTAACTACACATTTTATCTGAAATTTGCAAGCAATGGTGATTCCGAAGCAGGAGAAGTTTTGTTTTAGATTAGTGCCAAAAGCAATGTAACTTACAGTAAGCCAGTACAGCTTTGAAACAGCTGCTAGCTACTGCCTATTGAGCCAAAGCCCAGATGCTTGCAATTTTCTACTCAAAAACTGTTAAAGAGCCTCTAGCCAGGACAAAAAAAAATTACCTTTATTTCTTTGCTTTGGAGTTTTGAAGCTCCATCATCTGTTCGAAGCACCTTCTTGGTACCTTTATGCTTCTTTTGTCCTGTCTCAGTGCTGAACACAAGCTGATCCAGATTTTTGCCAAGTTGCCTCAAGAGACAGTCCTTCTCTGCCATCCACGCTTTCTCATTGGCTCTGGCATCAAACTTGAGCTGGAGATAGTCACGAGTACTCTCATATAAGAGATTTTGGGTCTTTTGGAGCCTGCAAAAAGGGATCTCAGTGGAGTTAATTAACTTCTTTCCTAGTTCCTACCTTAATTTCCTCAGTCATCACTGCAAGTTGGAAGTGGCATGGAAGAAAAAGATAGGTGCTCGCCTATTGATCTTAGCTCTTATCACCTAATGAAAGCAGTGCTACTCTTCCTGTGTGAAATAGGATTTTAAATATGTAGATTACTCCACTCATCATCTTCCACACATACTACCAGATGGCTGCATAATTAGCTTTTCTACCTGCTGCAGGAAGCAACACACTCGAAGTCATAACATGCCTATTGTTCCATCTCTTCTCATCTCGTGACTACATTGTGGTCATTCTCTCCCACTCACTTATCTGTTACAGCTTTGATCTTCTCCTGGTCCCTCTGATGCTGGACCTCGGCTTCTTCCATGTGAATCCGCCTGTCCTCTAGCAGTGCCTCGATCTGTTCCTTGGATAATCGTGTCTGTTCTTCTATCTGAGCTTGCAAGGCCTGGACCTGGATAAGCAGAGGCAGACACTGCTGAACGAGACCTCACACCAGTTCTGCTCCTGCCCTTGCAAGTCTCTTAAATTTCAAGCTTCAAATCTAAGACTCTACCCGATAACACCTTTGGCAGTTCTAGTTTCTCAAGCTTTTCTTTTTGTTTTAGTGCTAAGGACTTCAAACAACTAAAACATTTTTTTAAAAAATCATTTAAAAAATAGGCAAGAGAGGTATACCATAAACAACAACAATAGATTGAAGATATTGCAAAGATTTAAATTGCACATGATTAAATTACATGTGACAAATCCTGTGGAATATGCAGAGACACTTCCATCCCTCTGCTACCATCTTCCAATAAAATGGGTGATATAAAAATACCTAAATTCAAGGAAGGCAGCAAGTCGACATATATTGAGAGAAAGAAATTACTCAAACAGAATTAATTACTAAATGTAAACAAGATAATGAATGAAGGAGAGGGATGCAAAGAATCCTGATCTATAGTCAGTGAGATACATTGAAGCAAGTAATTGAGAAATGTGCATCTGGCCTTTATGTAACAAACTATCTGGAAAAAAACTTTGGTAGGTATTTAGATTGCTTATTTTTATGTCAATTTTGAATGATGCTTTTGTTCCAGAATAAATGTTGTTAGACAGCTAACTAGCCATCAGGTCAATCACCACCACCCTTGAACAAGAAATATCAATAATAACAATAACAACCACCACCACCAATATCTGCTGTACAAGTTAGTCCTTTATTTGCTTTTCTTGATCCATCCTTCCTCATCCTTTTCATTCTGTCATGCTACCTTTCACTGAAGTCTAACAAAGGGAACATTTCATTGTACAGGTGCATATTACTGGGGCTGCCCAATACTGTCTCAGACACACTGCTTTTGTCAGACTTCCACAAAACACCCGACCCTGCAGATCTTCAGTAGGTTTAATGTCAATTCATAGCCACTATCAAACTGTGGGAGATAACATCAATTAAGTGTTCTATATTTAAGGGCAACATATTTCAGTTGGCATTACTGGAACAGCTGCTTACATAAAGCTTCCAGAATCGGACCCAAGTTCTTCAATCTACAATCACTACACAGAAACAGCTACGTAAACTGACAGAAAGTGTGAATCTATACTGAGATGCAAGGACTGATAACATTGGTACATCTACATCTTATCTAAGCAGACGGCATGTTTTTTTAATCACAATTTTCTGCAAGCTAGGAATTATATCTATTGGTTAGCAAGTGCTTTTACCTGTAGTAGAAGTGTTTGACTATCACTCTGGTATCTCTCAGGACTTTCTGTTTTTTCTCTTTGTGCTGTTTCTTTTGAGGTGCTCCTCTCGGTACCTACTGCAGAAATTTAACAAAAATGGAGAAGGGTTTTCCAATCTACTTGCAATATCTTTCTAAGCATGACATATTGTATGTTCTGGTGGGCCTACAGCAACAGGAAAAAGCCTTGCCATTGCTACAGTCACAAGGACTTCTAAGAGGGCTAGCTGAAAGAAAAGAATTTCACAACTTAGGGTGATCACATAACTTTATCCCAGTCCATCACACCGCAGTGTTCAGTATTTAGGCAACGTACTCATTTTCTTGGCATAAATAGAAAGCAAACTTGACACTTTTTCTTACATACATGATGAACAGGCAGATGTCACAGCTGCACAAACATCAAGCCTTGAATGAGTTTTGAGCTTGTTGGCTAATTTCAGTCAATTTAGATGAGGTAAAGGAGAAATTAAGTCTGTAGGCATACAAATACACACTACTGTCTACAGCAAGTCAGGCAGAACCTCACACCTCAGAATGGCTGTGGCAAAGGTGCCTGTCCAGTTGGTACCTGCATAGCTCCATAACAGCCATCTATTGATCACACCAGCTTCTTCCTTAGCTGGGCAGATCATGGACACAAGAGCCAGCTAAGGTTATTTGAAAAGACTTTGAAAGGCAGCCAAGAGCACTGCAGGTACATGTATATGCACATGGACATTTAGGGAACTTGATGGAGATTTACCAAAGCATTCACAATAAGGAATTACGTCAGTATACTGGAGACAGACACAGGAGGTGAGCTGCTGTCAGCCAGCTTGGTGTGGTACCTGGGCTAGAAGCATCGTCTTGTTCACATGACTCTGCTGGCCTTTGCAGAACAGTAACCTACAGAAACAAGATATCTGCACTCAACATCTGACTTCTCCAAAGCAGCAGTCAAGAACAAATCTTAAGAAGTTAAAATGAGATATCCAAAAGAACAGCATTACCTTACTTCTACCACAAGACAAGGAAGACATTCACAAGTGTAATGTCCGTGTTGAAAAGTTTCCTTTATCATGGCTGAGTTTTGCCATTTCTGCCTCTAATTTTTTCACCAAAACAAATGGAAAGTAATTCTGCCTTTTCTGGCTTCATTAGGATGAAAGTCAGCACCCTCAGCAGGAAAGGAGCATTTTGGGGATAGAGAGGAGAAGAGGAAGGTGAAGATGATGTTATTTCCTTGTTTCATACTCCCTCTCGTCTCAGCAGGACAGAGAAACACGAGGCTTCATTTATCAGCACGTTCATTCAAGCTACTGAACAAGCCTGAGATAAAAGCTCAGTGTCAAGAATATTGAAACAGCTCAACTGTTGAACCAAAACTCATTTAACAAAAAAAGAAGGCCATGAGGGAGCAGGTTATAACCCCAGTGCTTATCTTTAGGTCAATACTACATGATAGCACTAATTTTAGAGCTATCCTAAACCAAGGAATTTTAAAGCTTCAAGATTTTTGAAGTACTTGAGTGGTGCAGAGCAACTATGAACAATGCAGCTTATTTCAGCCTTTTTCTGCACCTTATTCCAAGATAAATTCTATATTCCTCTCATAGACTCTCTATGTCTGAATCATTCATGACTTTATAAAGGTTCAGCTACACTGCACTTCACATGCACTGCCATTTAATCAATTTAACCATAATTCTCAAATATGTGACACAGTGTTGCCTTAAGGGGATGGTTTTTCTGCCCAGGAAAATGCTGCAGCAACCTTGACCTTTTCTTCTTTAGTGAGGCTACCCTAGATAACTGATCTTCAAACACTGCACCTGGTTGCTTTCAGCACTGTTTTTCTTCTTGTAGTGTTCTCTCCATCTTCTCAATGACCATTTGCCAGATGACTCCAGACTCCTATCTGACATTTAGGAGGCTGACATAGAGCTATGTTTTGAAGAGAGAAGGAGGCTGATGCTAAGAGGACCTACTTTCAGTGTGCTTGTTCGTATTTACCTTTCAGCATTTATACTGAGACCTGGTGTTGCTACAGATCCCTCCTGTACTGAGTTCATTTAGTAACTTTTGACTTGCAGGTCTGTGGACACTGTGGGGCACAGATACTCATGTTACAATCCAAAGTAGAGTTCTACAGAAAAATGGGAACTTGCCTTATGTGGAGGCTCCTTGTGAAAATATGTAACTTCTTCATCTGCTCCCATTACAGTCAGGAGATGTTGAATTTTTTTTCTGTCCTCCAATTCCCTGAAATTCAAAGAAAGCACTTTTTTTTTTTAATACATCAAGACATTACTTGTTAATGCTTACAAGTTTTCTAAACTGTTGCAGTTCTTGAGAATATTACTTTAAAAACAACCTCCTGAACACATTACTGACGTTGCCAATATAATAAGAACACCACCAATTCTGCTGGGATTGGAGAGCCTCTTTTCAAATATGACAATACTACATGGGTTGATACAACAATAGCACATGTGGTAAAGCATTTTCATTATAAAGTTATAAACTTTCAGATTGTAACTACATTAAGACCTGCGTCAGACTTTTCATCAAACTCTTGAAAAGTGCCAAAGAACAGCAACACATGTTTTGACTTAAGTTCTTAAATCTTTAAGAGAAAACTTGATACTATCACTCACAAATATTCTGAAGAAGGTTGGGAGCAACTTTGCCACTGGCAGCTTGTCTGGTATGATGGGTTATATTACAGTTCACTGGGACTATGACATTCACCAACTAAATGGCATTAAAAATGAGTGGCTGCCATCATGATCTCAGAGTGAGGGAAAACTATTTGCTTTGGTCTGTATTTTCTACTCCAGCTTAAGTGTTTTTAGGGCTGAAGAACTTTTGCCAGGCAGATGCAAGATCTGCATCTGGGTTTTGGTAGCAGGGGGCTACAGGGGTGGCTTCTGTAAGAAGGTGCTAGAAGCTCTTCCCACATGTTCAATAGACACAATGTCAGCCAGCTCCAAAATGGAGCTGCCACTGGCCAAGGCCAAGCCCATCACAATGGTGGTAGCACCTCTGGGATATTTAATGGGGGCTCAGAGCCCCACCCCTGGCCTTGACCACTTCCAGGGATGGGGCATCCACAACTTCTCTGGGCAACCTGTCCCAGTGCCTCACCACCCTCATAGTGAAGAATTTTCTGCTAACATCTAATCTAAACTTGGCCTCTTTCAACTTAAAGATATCACCTGTATCCTGTCACTACATGCTCCTGTAAAATTCCCTCTCCGGCTCTCTTGGAGGTCCTTTAAGTGCTGGAAGGTGCTGTAAGGGTTCCCTGGAGCCTTCTCTTCTCCAGGCGGAACAGCCTTTACTATCTCAGCCTGTCTTTATAGGAGAGGTGATCCAGCCCTGTGAGCATTGGATTGGTAATAATTTCCCCAAGTCAAGTATATTTTGCCCATGACAGTACTTGGTGAGTGATCTCTGTGTTCGTATCTTGACCCATGAGCGTTTTGTTACATTTTCTCTCCCCTGTGCAGGGAAGGAGGTGAGTGATACAGTGTCTTGGTGAACACCTGGCATCCAGCCAAGGTCAACCCACCAGAGTCAGCTTCAATCAGAACTTCCACATTCAAATTGGTAGCACAGAATCAAAATGTGAACCTATGTTAAACTTCCGCTCTTTCTTCTACTATCAGAATAGGAGGAATAATAAGTGGAAAGATATTTAGCATCCCTGCAGAGCCCACCCTGGGAAGTGTGCCATACTTGCTTCTCCGAAGACTCCAGATCTGGATGAGAACTAGCACACAGTTATACAATTGCTGCTGCCTGTGACCCAGCCCACACCACCTAAGACAGCACACCTGATTTTCAGCCGGTCATTCTCCGAGTGAAGACGAAGGACGTGTTCCCTCTCCTGGAAGAGGTAGACTTGCATATCACTCAAAGCCTTCTGCAACTTAGAAATCTCCTCTTCCAGCTGACGGACTTCCCATTGCAACTTGTGCTGAGTGGAGAGAATGAGGTACTTGAAATGACACAGAGCATTGGGCAACACTTATGAACTTCAAACTGCCTGTGCCTTGAGCCTATAACTGGTATAGAACAACAGCAGCTCAAGTGAATTATTTTATTCTCTTATAATACTTGTCCAGCTGAGGGCAGTATTGGAAAAATTATTTTAAAATGTTTCAGCAGGGAGTTCAGAGCCCCAAGAATCACTGTCACTACACAGCAGTTCATTGAGGCCTCAGCAAGGGTCTCCAGTTTCCAGTGGTTGCACTTCCACGCTGGTGGTCACAGCAGCACAGGTACGGGGAGTGTGACATCAACAAAAGCATAGCAAAGCTTCTGCAATAGCACATAACTTTTAAAATAAATTACTGAAGAATGCACATTAAAGTATCTGTGTGGCTTAGCAGTGAGAAATCTGGGTAGTTACTAAGTTACATTAATTATGTTCTACCCGGTGTGGAAAACTAACAAACCTTGTTGAAAATCATTCCTGTACGAAAGAAGGCACTATTTTGGAACCTGCCCCTCTTTTTCCCCTATGAAAGTAACTTAACAGCGCATATTCCCCTAGGCTGTTTTCAGGCTGATTCTAGCAGGGCCAGTACTTGGGAAGACACCTTAGTCACCTCAGAAGTGATTATTCAGCTCCCAAAGGACCATTCACAATTATCAAGATGACTGCTAGACAGATGCATGCTCTAAGGCAGATCAGAACACTGAATATCTTACAGATATTCTGTAAGATTTCTTCCTCTTAAAAGGCAAATTTGTAGGTTTGGGAGTTTCTTGCAAACTCTCATTTATTTGTTGTGTAGTTTACTGCTATGCTTATGAATTCCACTGTGGTAAATACAAATTATATCCATTACTCAAAGCCTATTACATTTGGACAAAAGAGCACTCCTTTACTATGAGAAAAAAGGGGAAGATTCTGGACAATATGGAGAATGAGCATCTAAATTCAGACCTTAATAAAAACAAACAAATAAACAAACAAACAAACAAAACCAGAAGCAAAAACCCCACTGAAGAGATATAACCAAACTATGATAACTTTAGAAGAAGGTATGTTTCTGTTTGCTTTGGGAGGACAGCTAGACTTTACAATCACACCCCACAATCAAAACCTACTTATTTCTTCATAGCTCAGTTCCACCATGTTACTGGTAAATCTGGAGACATCTATGCTGAGTTTTCAACCGAGGAAAAATACTAAGTTTGTGGAAGGATATGTAGTCCATCACTGCTCAAAAACTCCTTCCCTACCTGATCATCATACGTTTCTTTGTACCTCTCCAGCCTTTTTACCAAATCCTCCTGTTCCTCATCAAAGTCAGCAATCTTCTTGCGGTAATATTCCAGCAGCTCCCGGGAAGGATGGAGACGGGCCAAGCGCTCACTGATAGAAGGCAGAGGAGTAAAGTCCTCGTGGTTTGGAGACTGGCAATCAGCATATCTGGATGAGACATGGGGGTTTGGCAGCCTGGACAGAAACAGAGACATGTAAGCTTCAGAGATGAAAATTCCAACACTTTTTAAAATAGCTGAACAGGTTTTTAAATTTTTACACAGATTAGCTTGATTGTGCTGTGGGTGTTAACAGGAGGTCACAGCATTAAGGAGAACCAAAACTTTTGATGTAGAATGGCTTGCAGGTTTACTATACTGTGGAGAAGGGGCAAACTTATGGAAAAAGGATTAAAAAATGTTATGGAAGCAAAATCTCATAGGTTATTTAGGGAGGGTGAATGTGAAAAGAGGAAGAAGAAAGAACAGAAGGACAGAACACAGAGGACAAAAAGTCCATTGTTATGTGCAATTAGAAGCCACTAAAATGAGCAGGAAAACAATCTGTGACAGTCACTATCTGATACCCAGAGAAAGAAACACTTTCTAGAGACAGACCACTGAATAAAGGCAATAATTCAAGAAAACTGATGCACCAGCCACTATAATTTAAGGTGTAGATTTAGAAATCTACATGCTTTCCTTTCTGGTGTACTTGACCTTATCCACATAGCTTGTCCCTCCTCAATAGTGAAGTAGAAGGTGCCAAGTTCTTTTATCATACATTGAAGTGCTAGATGTAAAGCAAGTCAATGTTATGCAAATAAAATTAAGGATATGTATGATTACATGTATTTTCTTATAAACAATATTTACGACATTTAAACATTTAATCTGCTCAAACAAGCACCAAATTTGCAAACAGAGCCGCAGGGTTCACAGTTACATTGGAATGCATTATTTTTGTTATTTATGTTGATCTGAAAAGCTCATTTTTTTAAATGATACCATGAGTAACAGAAGCCTCTTTACTAAAGATCTGCTCAATGAAAACAGTCCAGAATCTGACCCTGGGGCCAGTGCCAGAATGCTGATGATAAAGTGATTTGATGGATGGCACCGAGGCAGCAGTGACCTTTATGGAGCCACTCTCTAAAGCTACTTAGATAGAACCCCAATGCACATCTATGAAAACGTGCCAAGCTCCTTAACTCCCAGCACTTGAGAAAAGCATGATATATACAAAAGGATGATTTTCCCCCAGGTAGGAACTTGCTGCAAGACCAGACATGCCTTAACACACTTAGAAAAATAAGTAACACCAGAAGGAAGGAAGTAACCCAGGCACAAGGTGAGCGCTTTATTGCGGAAGAGCAGCAGAAACGGACAAGTGTAAAAGCAAGGAAGCACAACAGGCACAGGAGAGGGCCAGAGGGTGCTCTACTACAAACCAGGCCACCGGGCAGGAAGGAAAGGGCTGCGGGCCCCCCGCTGCCCCGGGAGGAGCGGCTCCCCCACACTCACTACCTCGAGCAGCGCGGGGTCGCCGCCACGCTCATCGCGCCCCTGCGGAGCGCCGGGCCCTCGGCGGGCGGGGGATAGCAAAGCTTCAGGCACTCCGGGAGGCTGGCGGCGGGGAGCGCCCGGCGGGAACCCCTCGGGGAGAGCCCCGGGACGGAGGTTCCCAGGACAAGGGTTCCCGGGACGGGGGTCGCGCCGCCGCCTCACGGCCCCAACGACCAAACAACCGCCACACTCCGCCCGCCGCGGCTTAAACTGCGTGGAGCCACGCCCCCCACCGCCTCCTCCAATCACAGGCGGCTTTCCATGCGACGTCGACCGTCTGCGCCAATCAGCGGTCGCGACGCGGGCGGGGGGGCCTCTGGGAGTTGTAGTTCCCGGGCGGTCGGAGGGGCCGTGGCGCGTGCGCGGCCATGGCGGGGGCACGGGGAGGGCCTGAGGGAGGGACCGCGGGGCCTGCGCCTGTTAACCCTGGTGTTATGAGGGCAGCCCTTAGACCTGTGGGCCAAATACACGCAAAGCTGGCGGGGGGGACTCTTTTCATACACAGAAGCAAAAACCGCCACTCAAACGCCCGTTTGTGTTTGGAAATGAGCTGAACGAGACATGAATGTTGCGCAGTCACAATAAGCTACCTGCTCGAATTCTGCCTGAATTTAATGTATTCTTTGGATCATCTCGATGCCTTTTAGCCTCTCCATCCCTCTCGAGTACCCAGAAGTACCTACTAGTGGTTTTACTGTTTATGCAACACACGATCTCCTAATTCACTAAGTGTGCTGGGGAAAAAAAAAGCCTATGCACTAATGAGCCATTTAGCCAATTTTTTTTCCTTAACACTTTGTTTAAAGAAACCGACTTTCTGTATGACCAAAAAAAAAAAAAAAGGCTTACTTACATACTTATAAAACTATGAGGTTACTCACTGCAGTTACAACTTCCTCATGAGGGGAAGAAGAGGGGCAGGCACCGATCTCTGCTTTGTGGTGACCAGGGACAGGACCCGAGGGAATGGCCTGAAGTCGTGTCAGGAGAGGTTTAAGCTGGATATTAGGAGGAGGTTCTTCCCCCAGAGGGTGTTTGGGCACTGGAACAGGCTCCCCAGGGCAGTGATCACAGCACTGAGCCTGACAGAGTTCAAGGAGCGTTTGGACAACACTCCTGGACATGTGATGCGATTCTTGGGGCGTCCTGTGCAGGGCCAGGAGTTGGACTTGATGACCCTTGTCAGTCCCGTCCAAGTCAGAATATTCTGTGATTCTGTGATTCTTCTTCAAACTGATTTTGTCATGAAACAGAGAAAAGAGGAGGGTAGATCATTTGTCTTGGCAAAGTCCAGAAGAAACAATGCTATTAGGGATTTGGACTTGATGATCCTTGTTGGTCCCTTCCACCCCAGGATATTCAGTGATTCCCCTTAGTTAGACTGGGTGCTCTCTCCAGAGAGCAGCGGAACACATTGTACAAAGGGCTGAAGTATTCTCTCAGGAAAGTGATAAATACTTCCAGAGAACTAAGAAGAATAAAGACTGACAGAATAAAGACTGACAGAGGGTACACAAGTCCTAGCACGGACCAGTGTTTCAGAAGCCAACAGCCCCTAAACCAGAGCAGGTAACAGAGAAAAGCGTAAAATTCTGTTTCAAAAAGGATACCTTGCAGAACCAGGATGATGAAAAAAATGCCCCCTTGGGTTATTTGGGATATTTAGCTTTTTGCTTTTAGGAAAACCTCTGCAATTCCCAGCATTGCCTTCCAGAGCCCTCCACTAACCCAAACATATTAACACAAAGCTGAAACAACCTTGAAGAGTCAGTCTACAGGGAAATCAGCAAAAGAGTGGTTCTCAAAACAAAGCTTTCGAGCATGGAGATTTTTCCCTCTGGTATTCCTGGCTAAATCGTTGCTTATCTTCAAACTGGGAAGGTTGTTGATTCTGCTGATGGGAATAGAAAACAGATGTATTTCCTCAAAGGGCTCTGGTACAGCTTGTCAGGAGAGAGACACAACCAAATAATAATAGAAAGAAAATGCAAGGAGTTAAAAGAATTATGATTTCTGGATACTGGCAAGAAAATATCTGCATTCCACATGCTTATACAGTCTTACATAAAAGTACCAAGCAGCCATTCCAGGAATCCCCTGCAAAATGCAAGAATACTTTGCAACAACAGAATAACCTCAATTTGCTCAACGTTTTATAAGATAAGTTTGCCCTTACCTGTAACTTCTGTCAAAATTAACCATTTGCAGTGGGGACACGTGTTTACCACATGTACAATGCAGGCAACACCTCTTTAAACAGGCAAGGAAGCGATGCAGATAAATGTATTTGGTCTGAAGCAGATCTTGTAAGCCTCATGGTAAGAGGGGGTGAGGAAATTAACTTTTTTTGAGCCTGAAGTAGAACACCAGGAGCGAGGTTTGAATAATCGAGAGAATAAATATTCACAGAGAATAAAGTGAAACGTGGCGTTTGGTGAACACTGAAGGCAGGGTTCTGGTAAAAAAAAACCAACTCTAACAACATACAATTTATTTTGGAAGACTATGTTGCTATGGATAGGTAAAGAGGTACTTAATGAGTCCCAGGAGGTACTTAACGAGTTCGAAGTTGTGATGACTTAGGAAATAAAACAGTGCGTAGGGGGAGATCAGCAGAGTATCCATCCATAGCAGCAGGGGTTGGGAGGTGACAGTGGAGCACTTGGCACGACCTGAGGAAGTTCAGCTTGGAGGAGGCTGAGGGGAGACCTCACTGCAGTTACAACTTCCTCGTGAGGGGAAGAGGAGGGGCAGGCACTCTGTGGTGACCAGGGACAGGACCCGAGGGAATGGCCTGAAGTCGTGTCAGGGGAGGCTTAGGTTGGATGTTAGGAAGAGGTTCTTTCCCCAGGAGGCGGCTGGGCACTGAACAGGCTCCCCAGGGCAGCGGTCACAGCGCCAAGGCTGCCAGAGGCTCACGGAGCGTTTGGACAACGCTCTCAAGCACACGGTGGGGTTGTTGGGGATGGTCCTGCGCGGCGACAGGAGCTGGACTGGACGGTCCCTGGGGGTCTCTTCCAGCTCAGGAGGGTCCCGCGGCCACGGACGGACGGACGGACGGACGGACGCTCCCGCTCCAGGGGGCGGGGCCTACGGGAGGGCGGGGGTCTGCGAGGGGCGGGGCCTGTCCGTGGGCGTGGCCTGCCGTCCAGCCCAGACAATGGGCGACGCGGCCGCTCCGCACCGGAACTGAATGGCTCGGGTTTCCTCGCACATTCCTCCGCGGCGGAAGTGGCGTCGGCCCCGCCCTCGCGCTCCGTGGCGCCCTCCTGCCCCGCGCGGTGCCCCGAGGGGCGGCGGGCCGGGCGCGTCCGCGCCGGGAGCTGCCGGAGGGGCGTCCCCGGAGGCGGCGGGCGCGGGAGGTGCCTCGCCAGCAGAGGAGCGCCGGAGGGACTACTTTTCGGCTCGGAAGGCAACGCGCCTTGCAGTTCCGGGGGAGGGTTGGTACGGCCCGTCACTTCCGGCGGGCCGGAGGCGAGGAGCGGGGCTCGGGCGGGGGGAGCGGCCCGGGCCGGGACAGCGCCCGCCACCGTCACCGCGGCACCGCCGCCGCCCGCCCCGCCGGGGATGCGCCTCGGCCCCCGCTCCGGACACTGAGCGCCCTGCCCGCCCCGCTCCGCCCTGCGCTCCCGGCGGCGCCGGCGCCCCCCTCCCCCTGCGGCCATGGCGGGGGCGGCGGGTCGCGCTATGCGGCCGAGTTCGTGCCGCCGCCCGAGTGCCCCGTGTTCGAGCCCAGCTGGGAGGAGTTCAGCGACCCGCTCGGCTTCATCGGCCGCATCCGTGGCCTGGCCGAGAAAACCGGCATCTGCAAGATCCGGCCCCCCAAGGTACCGCGCCCGGGGGGGCTGAGCGCGGCTCGGGGGCTCCGCGCGGGGCGTGAGGGGCCGGGCAGCGCCTTCCCCCCATCCCGGTTCGCCCGGCGTGCCGGGTGTCCCCTCCGACGGGCCGCGGGGCCCGTGCCGGGGGCACCGAGGGACCTGTGGAGTGTCTGACCTCGGAGCGGGGTGTTGGGAGGTTGCTCTGCCCAAGGCCAGGAGCGAACGGTGCGTGGAGGTGCCCGGGACTTCACGCTCTCGTCACTTCAGTAAAAAACCCCACCGGCCGACTTGTGAAAGCTGCGAGCGCTTCGTGGGTGAACTCGGGCGTTTGCTCCGGGAGGGGAGGAGAGAGAAAAGAGGGTGTTTGTTTTTAGCGGACTGTTGTTTATAAGCATAGCCTGTAAGCTGTTAAGAGGAGCGCGGCCGCCCTGTTTGTGCAGGGGAATTATGTTTGTTTGAGGCAGTTTAGGAAGAAGAAGCTTAATCACTCCGATGACTCGGTCATTATTTCACGATCACTTGTCCAGTGACCTGGGAAAACCATCTCGACAAGGCAGAAGGCAGTTAGATCCCCGAATTATTAAAGTACAAATGGACTTTAAATATGGCAGTTAAGTAAGAGGCTTGAAAATACCGAGAGAGGTAAAAACCTGAAAAGAAAGCGTGATCCGAGTTGCGGGGTTTGCCGATTGGATTTCATGATCCCCCTCCCGGCCTGTTTTGGTTCCCGGAATCTTTTTAGTTGGTTTAATGGCACGGGGAAGACTTGACCTCCACGGGGCTGCCCTTTCTAAAATAAGCAGAATGGCTCAGGTTGAGAGGCCCCAAGAAACCGATCCAGGTCCTGTTCATTGAGAATAACGAGAACTTTCCTGGCCGTGGGATGTGTTCGTGTCTCTCCGCGATTGCCGAGCTGTTCGCACTGCAGGGTTCCACGGGATGCAAGAGTTGATTTGCAGCCTGCAAGAAGGACTAAATCAGACACTTCACACTAACCCTGCTGATTTATTGCTCTTTACCATTATTGGAAGTTGTAAATATTTTTCACTTGGACTTGAGGCCTTTGTGTGCTGCAGCAGAGCAAATAATAAATGATTAGCGTGGCTTGTCCACCTGGAGTGGGGTGTCCTTGCTCTCTTGTATTTGCTGCCAGGTAGATAATCCACTGTAAGTGAAGCTTTTGTTTAAAAAAAAAAAAAGTGCTGAAAAACTGAATGACTTGTTTTGATGTTGTAACACAACTGTGGGAGATGGGGCTGGGAGGCACTTGTGGTTGAACCGGCTGGTGGTGCTGAGAGGGTCATTGTTTA